TTGGGTTTTGGCTGGGACTGATGGGTAGGCTGAATATGTGGTGGTGCCAGGATCGTGCAGAGAGAGAATGGGCGGCGGTTCGAGAGTTTCTGGGGAGGATGGGGGTGGTGCGGTGGCGTGGGCAGGAAGGCGAGATGTGGCGGGCGTTGATGGAGGACTATGAAGTTGTTCGTCCTTGCAGTTCTGTAGGTATGGATATAGGTAGGGTGGGGACAGAAAGCCCGGATTCTATTTAAACTTGTGGGATATAAGTGTTATAGTAGAGCTAATAAGGGACTCTCCTTTTCCACGACACCACAAGGTTGGAGTTGACCTGCGCGCCTACCTCCTAAGAGTCTCATCCAGCACATACATCACCGCTCAAGTGAATAACTGACTGCTGCATACAGTGGAAGGACCGAACAGCGGCATTGGGGGTTATCTCAGCGCCCCACTCTCCCCGCACGCGCAGGAGAACGTTATGTTCGTTTTATTGATTGTGACCAGAGGGGGACGCTGGTGACGTGACAGGGTTTGGTCGCAGCTTGGCAGTGGGAACGAGAGCTTGACCCTGGTTCCGGCCCACTTTGGGATGAACGTTTTGTCCAATGACTGAGAATACCCCCATGTAAGTGGAATCCCAAGGCGGATGTTGCTGTTAGACTGAGGATATCACCAATATGACCAAGTAGTGCTAAGAAGCGGGGAACCTTGCTTTTGGCACAGTGGTCAAATAGTTCGATAGTTGCATCCCGGGCATGCCACCTGATGCAAGACACCAGGATAGCACACGCCTGCCAACACGCCCTTCTTGCATAATATTCCCACTCGTCCTTGCAAAGATACAAGTAATAATACCCGAGCCCCACGCCCGCCCAATTTTGCGCGTAGGGCGGACACAGGGGAATTGGCCGCTAACTAGCCCCCGTCCCGTCCCGTCCCTAGCTGCCGCCCAGACTAATCTAACGGGGCGCGTCGCTTCCAAGCGCCGCCCCCTCATTTCAAACACCTTGGGTACTATTCCTGTTTCTTTTTTCGCAGTTGTATCTGTATTCATCCCCTCAGAACCTTCTACCCACATGCTCGAGTCTCATCTTACTTAGCCGAAAGCGAGAAAAAGAAGTCAGAGAGAAGAACATGGCCGGAGAGACGTCCCCGCCTCCTCCCGCCAGGGACAGCAAGTCGCCTTCATCGTCGCCCAAGCCGAAATCCCCAGCGGCGGAGAAGTCGCCGTCGCCAGCAAATGCAGGCTCTCCTCAGCCGACTACGATCGCTGGGATTCTTCCCGCTCAGCACTGGGTGGATGCCGCCGAGGTTTGTTCGTCCTTGTGAGAGGCCCCGGGTGCTGTCATGTGCGCAAGTTGGTGTTGTTTCCCGGCGCTAACCTGCTCTGGCGTCTTCTAGGGTCAAGGGTTCGACGATGCCGATGATGCGTCGGCCGTCGTCTCATCGACTGCCTCGCTCAGCGCCAGCATTCTGGAATACCGCAAGATCCATGGAAGGACGTACCATCATGACAACGATACTGCTAAATACTGGTAATGTTGGCTATGACGATAATAATATGGGGCACGTAGAAGGTATATTGTCTAACATCATCTAGGGGCTCGAATGACTCCCAGCAAAACGAGTCCATGGATATAAAGTGCGTATTCCTATTCCACAACAATATCATCCACAAGTCGGCCCATGTATAAACAGCTGACGACTATTTCACTAGCCACCATGTGGAGACGCTGCTTAGTGACGGGAAGCTTTTTCTTGCACCCCTGGACACCGACAAGGTCCATGTAGGTTGCACTAAAATCAATCATGGCTGGCTACTATCTAACTTGCGTGGTAGAAAGTTCTTGACATTGGAACTGGCACCGGTATGACAAATACCTACTTTATACGGGCCATAGCTTCTGCATGCTAACCGTATCGTGTCGCTACCGGTTAGGCTCATGGGCAATGTATGATCGTGCCTGCTATGCTCGACGCATTATTACACTTTACTGATGACACTACCTCTCCCTAGAGACTTCGCGGATGACCACCCCAACGCCGAAGTCGTCGGGACCGACATGTCTCCGATCCAGCCCACCTGGATTCCTCCGAACTTGAAATTGTACATCTTCTCCTTAAACACCTATTCTAGAGCTTGAAGTGAGCTGACACACCATATCTCTGCCTGGGTATAGCGAGATTGAGGACTGCACACTCGAGTGGACATTCGCGAAGAACTCCGTTGATTATATCCACATGAGGTTACTCATAGGGAGTATCGCAGACTGGGACTTCGTGTTCAAGCAGGCCTATGAAACCTTGGCACCTGGGGGTTGGTTTGAGAGCCAGGAAAACAACGCGGTCTGGGAGAGTGACGACGACACACTGTCGGAGAATTCCGCCCTAGGTCAGTGGGGCAAGCTCTTTGCCAATTTTGGAAACACCATCGGGAGGTCATTCTCCATCTGTGATGACGGGCTCCAGAGAAAGGCCATGGAGGCTGCTGGGTTTGTCGACATCCACGAGGTTGAGTACAAGGTAAGGATGAACGTAGTCTCCTTGCCCCTATTCTATTGATGAGGCCGTAGCTAACCTTGACCGGGTTGATAGAACCCAATCGGCACCTGACCCAAGGACACGAAACTGAAGGAGATTGGGGAGTATACCCAGGTCGCCCTGGAGGCTGATATTGAAGGGTATATCCTATACCCAGCCACCTCTCTCGGCTGGAGCCGCGAGGAGGTGGCCATCTTTGCAGCACATATCCGCAGGGAGATACGCTCGCCTGACATTCATTCGTACTATCGTCAGAAGGTCGTCTATGGACGAAAGCCTAGCTGAGGGGGTAGACCCTTGGTGGATAGAGCAATGTTAGTTGTCGTAGGAATATCCAATTGCTTTGACTGTAACATCTAGATTACCTCTTCCACAGGGGAGTGAGCTTGGTGTTCAGTAATAGTCTGATACCCAGTCGCCGGGAACCAGTTTCGTTTTATATATGGGCTATAGTGTGTTCTTTTACATTCTTTGTATCTTTTGGGACGAACTAAACAGACACCATATCTTACCTCTCATAAATGTATATCTACGTAGGTATAGAGTTGATCTCTTATGTGATACTCAAGTGATGACAGCCAACTCATACGATCCCAGTCGAAGGGTTCACCTTCGCTTCCAGACTCAGAGTAAAGAAACGCTTCCGTACAAGCTCCTTACAATCCTTACGATCCTTTCACGCAACTACATCCGGAACTTCGAATTAGCATGCATAACCGCCATCTTCGCCACCTGACTCGCGATCAGATGCTCCTTAAACACCGGATCCAGCCCGCCCCGGAAATGCACCGTCCACTTGAATTCGAGCATGAACCCCGGCACGTCATCGCACCAGAACAGAGGCTTCGATTCGTCCGCGTCGTCGAGCAGTCTCCCCTTCCTATCCGGATCCGGCCAGTACCTCGAGAACTCGTACAGCGTCTCAAAGTTCCCATCCTCATGGCCCTTGTCGGGATGCTTAGGCTTCCAGACGAACTTATGGCACCCGTAGAAAAAGCGCCGGGGGCCCCAGGGGGACGTGTCCTTCCTGTCGGGCTCCTCGTGGATCCCGGCCTGGAGGAGGCTGTTCTCGATCTCCATCTTCCGGGCGCGGTGCTGGAGCCGGGTCTCCATCGCGTGCATGGGCATGGTGGGCTCCCAGGTCTTGATCAGGGCGCCGGCGTGCGGGTAGTCGCCCGCGCGGATGAGCCAGGCGAAGGGGATGTGGCAGTGGAACTGGATGGGAGCGTCGAGGAAGTAGAGCGTGTTAGTCTCCGTGGCGTCCTTGATGGTGAAATGGTAGCGCCCCTCAAGTGACGCGTCGGTGTTCCCCCTGCGGCGGACGACCCATGTCTCGACTGATGCGTCGGGTGGGAGCGTGTTTGTGAAGGACGGGGGGGTATACGTGGTGATATCGCGATCGGGGAGCTCAATCTCAAGCTGTAGATGGGCCTCACTTGTCAGTCTATATTTCGTGAAATGTAGAATTTACTAGAATTTTCCGTCACTGTCTATAACTTGGGCAGAATCACGAGAAAAATACTAGATAGGCGCGGCAACGGGGGCACTCACGCAACTTAGAAGATGCGGACCAGTATTGTTAAGCCGCTTCGAAAACTCCAACATCGCCGATGGCGCCGGACTAGGCGACCCCAAAGCATTCGCAACAGTAAAGTCCGTAACTGCCGGGACCAGTGGTGTCTCGGACTTCTTCTCCCCTTGATACGGCTGAAGCGCTCGCATCCGCTCGAGGTGGAGCCCAATCTTCGTCTCGGCCTCCTGCCTGAGGAGCCTCTTCTCCTGCGATAGGATGGAGAAGAAGCCGCCCGACTTGGTGAGCGGGGTGAGTCGTTCGACCGCCCGGTTGTGGGCATCAAGCGCCTCCTTGTAGTCCCCTTGTCGCTCGGCCTCGTAGCCTGCTTCGGAGGACTTGAGGGCCTCGGCGAACTTGGGGTGGATCTTTTTTTTCGTATCCATGTCCGTCTGCCTTTGGGTGTATTGGATGAGGAGAAGGGGGCAGCTGTTGGATAAGGTAGCTGAGTCCTTATTTGGTGTTAGTGGTTAAAATGGAATGGAATGGAATGAAAGTGGTTCTACTCGTCTGTACGCGTAAGGCCAGCTCGTGGGGGTTTTATTATCGACGGCCAAGATGCCAAGATGTAGTCAGGTGCATGCAGGCCAAGCCACGATTTCGGGTAGATGTTACACCGCTTACTGTATTGCTGGTCAGCCTTGCGCTTGTTATCTTTAAAAGAAGTTCATCCAGAATGCCACGGGCAAATCCCTCCTCCGGCCCCGGTCGAAACGTAGTGCAACATGGCGATCGGCTTCATTCGTGAAGCCGGAGTTTTAACGGCTGTAGTCAGCTGGTGGGGATCGGCTCGGCGCCGGCTCCGGGATGTCCGGGTTTTCTTGATGCAGGTGGAGATGAGGTAATACTGGCATCGGCTGAGTTGCAGAGAACCTTCGTATATTAAACTCCGCGACGTTCGAAGCACGGTTGGTTAGCTCAGTTGGTTAGAGCGTGGTACTAATAAGCTATCCGGCTTAACGGTAAATGCCAAGGTCATGAGTTCGACCCTCATACTGACCATCATCTCTTAACGGATTTGTTCTTTTTTTGCTTCCTTCTAATTACTTTTTGTAGTTTTCTCTATCCCCATTTAAGAAAAAGGAGGTCGAATATAATGAGCCCTTGATCAAGGTGGTGCGGCGCGTCTATCTCGTACGATTGATTGAGTTCCTCTGCCAGGCCAGACGAGTCGGTGACTAATCCTCCTACAGTCATATTTCGTGGTCGCTCTGCGACGTCATCCACATCCGCAATACTTGGACCTTGGGCAAACCACATGGAATTGCAAGGATGAGCACTGCCGACGACCAAAGCCAGAACTCCGGCGAGAATGAGCAGATCCAGCCCTCCTATGGCGACAATAATGGTGAGCAGCAGCGACGCCAAGGAGGAAGAACGAAAGGACGAGTCTCGATTGCCTGCACGATATGTCGAGATCAACATCTTCGGTGCGACGCGGCAGTACCATGCTGCTCCCGGTGTCGCTCGTTGAACAAGACGTGCGTCTACACAGATATACGGCGCCGGCGTCGGAAACGCATAAGCGAGGAATCGACTAGAACCAGGGCTGTGTGCGACGACGGAGGTCTGGATCTGGATGCCCGGCACGTCGATCCGGGTATCACGGAGCCCCAGCAAGCCCAGACAGATCTGAGCTCTTTTTTACCCCTTGGCGGCAATGACTTCTATCCGCTATTGGCGGGGGATAGTGATGGTCTTCAATCAAGCAGGGCTTTTGATGGATTCTACACCTTCTTCTTTGAGGCACACCCATTCGTCCTGCCCCGCGCGGAGCTAATACAGCAATTTGAAACCGACGCGGACTCGGTTTCCGAACTCCTCCTTGCAATCACCTTCATCGGATCGCGATACATCCGGGAGCGGCCATCAGACGGGATCAGTAGAGGTGCGGAGCAGATGTTGGACAAGGGGCTGGTCCCGACGGGGTTCAGTGTACAGGTTCTCATGCTCCTTGCGCTCTGTCTGGAATGGAGCGGGGAGAGCAAAAAGGCGAGCAATTCGCTCCAGCGTGCAAAGACTACTGCCCTAGCCATAGGCCTAAACCGGCGATCGTTCGCGGCTACCCATGGGCGGGGAAACCCCGTTTTAGAAGAGAGCTGGAGGCGGACCTGGTGGGAGCTGTACGTCGTTGATTCGCTCTTTGCCGGTATACGGCATTGGCCTACATTCAGCCTCTGGGGTGTTGAGTCCGATGTGTGCCTCCCTGGCGAAGAGGAGTGCTACGTCACGGGGGTAAGAACACGCGCTATGGGGAACCGTCTTATATCGGCACTGACGATATATTTCAGAACATCCACCCGCCGCGAACGCTCGGGGAATACGACGATCGCTGCTTCGAGGCGGGTGACGACTCATTCTCGTCGTTCACGTATCTCATCGATGCTGCTCGGATACTTGGAACAACGCTAGCCGCCGGGGATATTGCCGGTGGATCGCCGGACTCACTGGTCAAGAACGCCGAGGCGAATATCATGAGCTGGGATCTATACCTCCCACAAAGTAAGCGCGATCCCGTTCGTCCAGATGGGACGGTCGACGAGGTCTTGTTCCGAGCTCGGCTGATGATAAACACGTGAGTCTTATGCCCCTGTTTGTTGTAAAACCCGGGATGTTATTTGCTAAATTGCCCCTATCAGAGTGGCTATCCATCTCCATAGACCAAGATCCACTCTCCACTATTCAACAATGGAACTCCTCTGTTCAAAATACGCGCCCCCCCTCCCAGCCGAAGTCCTCCCCGTAGAAGAGAGACATCACGACCGTCACACCCACAAGGCCATCCGAGCCGCCAAGGCCTTCGTCGACATGCTGTCGGTCCCCTCGCCGCCGACGATGCACAGCCCATTTATACTCTGCATGGGGTCCATGGCTGTGGTGACGCACCTGTCGGCGTGCGAATATGCCCTGGCTGGGTCGGAGTTTGCGCACGCGAGGGATCGGGTCAGGGTGTTCCTGGGGATTTTGAGGGCGTTTGAGGGGGTATGGGGGCAGGCGGAGAGATGGCGGAGGGAGTTGACTCTGATGGCCAAGGCGGTGTTTGAGGGTAGGGGTCAACGTGGGGAGCTGGTGCTGGGGTCCTCGAGCGGCACGGCTGTTACAGACGAGCTGTTTGTCACAGGGAATGTTGGAGATCTCGGGGCGAGATTAGATGGAACGATGGAGGGTATGGTCGGGGATACGGGCGGTAGGGCATTCCTCTGATACGTAGTTTACACTACCTTAAACTCTCGCAAGTCAAGGTCTGGCACCCACTGTGCCCCGGGCAACTCGATATCAACCCAGCCAGCCCGTTCAAAGACGCCCACGCTGGCGTTAATACAACGCAGGATAAGGAACCACCATTCGTCTGTGCGGCGCCCAGTGTCTCTTCCTTCTGGCAATACACTGGGGAACCTTACCAACTTCGCAAGACAAAACTCCTCGTCCAATGGGATGCTACAAGGCCCATCGAAGGGATGGAAGTCTGGGAAGATTACCCGGGGGGGTGAGCCGCCAGTTGCTATGCCATATTTCTTGCCACTGTATGGGTTCTCGCTGTACGGATCGCGGGCGTGGAAGTCGTCCAGCTGCACAGTCTTGATACCGCTGACAGACGGGGCGGTGATGCGGATGAAGTGCGTGGCGGTTGTGAATTTCTCCATTCCCATATGTGGCGAGACCTCATCCAGTGACACCTGAGCTCGGTCCACCCGGGTGCCGTCCGTCCATCGCTCTTTGTATGGGTGCCGCACAGGCACGGTGGACGAGGCCCACGACCACGATGGCGCAGCAGGCTGGGACGAGGCCTGGATACGCACTGGAGGGTCCAGAACAATCCAGCTCAGAGACTCATGAACATTCCCCGCCCATACACCCGAGACGTAGGTGTCGTCGAGACGATGCTGAAACTTTGCAGCCAGACCCGCGATGGCGGGCAGGCGGCCGCCCAGAAAGGTGAGGCCCATCGTTGTATACTGCTCGACGAGCGAACTCCACTGGGGATACAGTTCTGCCGGCGACCCTGTATTAATGGCAAGAGATACGCCTTCTTTGAAACCCGGCGTGCCGTGAGGGTCGCGGTCACACTCGCAGCTGCGTGAGGTGAGGCACTCCCAGCCGAGCTCTTCGGACGTGAATTGGAGGATCCTCCGCGACAGTAGACGCTCTTGCAGAACCCACCCCCGAAATAGGAGCGGTACTTTTTCGCGATCGGGTATCATGTATCCGTGCTGCGAGTGGTCGTGCGGAAGCACCTCGCGAACAGTAATAAGGGGAAAGGTGGAGTTGGCGGGAGGTTGAAGTGCATATCCTCTAAATCTGGGCAGAAGATGGGTAAAGCATCCCTGTGATGGCTCGCTAGACTTTGTCACGGCGGCCGTGAGGGATGCACCTTGGTATATGTCGCCCATTAGTGGGATCTGGATGAACGATATGTCAATCCAGGCACTCGCGGCTGCTCTTGGACGTCGAAAGGAGGATCACTCTTCCCAAACTAAAGTTGGTCCTGTCACATCTTTCCGGGCCTTGGACGAACAGTGGCGGATGGAGGATCTCAGAAGGCCAACCGATAATGGAAATGGCTAATATTATGGGGTTTAATTTGAAAAGTCGACATAAAGAGATGATGTCCGAATGCAACTATCTCCGATTGTATCCCTTGAACAACTCCTGTACTGCCAGGTCGGAGGTTGATGCAACTATCTGTACTGCCCCGTCACCAAGTCTGACCCGTCTCGCATCAAACAGTTCGCCGAGTGTAGTAGTCAACATCTGTTCCCCATTCTCGCCTATAGTGATATCATCCAGTACATGCACCCTTCCAGAAGATGCTCTTTCATCTGCCTCAGAACAGACTGTGAGGCATTGTCGTACACTGTCGTGCTCTCTTGCGAGTCTTTGGGCGTCATTTCCTAGGTCTGAGACACTCCCTGGGGTTTGGATGGGCGCTCCCACCAACAATCGGCTCCGGGCCTCTTCTCCGTGAGCGCGCAGCTGAGCAAGCGTGTCGCTAAGCCTATCGGTACACTCCTTCAGCGTTAAGAGAGTCATAATGTGAGCGTGAGTCAGATCTCGGGTAGAAAGTCCGAGTGTCTTGAGGGATTTCCCAGCTGGAATGGGTTGAAGCCTCAATTCGTTGACATGGGCCAGCACCCCAGCGCAAATTTCGAGGCACTGTTCGGTAGTCTCCTGTTCGCTCTTGAACCGTTATACATCTGTTGGTTCCAGAATAGAGCGGCTGTTGCTTGATGGGGTGAAGGACTGAAGTTTAGAGTTGATCTCCTCGAGGTGATCCTCGAGGTCCTGCTTCGTAATTCGGATCATATCCTTCATATTCATTGAGAATCTGGAGGGTCACTGTGCTCGAACGCCTGTGCGCTGTCAGCTGAAATCCAGTATCAAAGGGTAAGTATCCTACAAATTCGCATCTGCCAGGGCGATGGCGATGGTGGATTTATATCCTGACAGCATAGCTGTAAAGCCGTTGATGTCGCCATCCATGTACTTTAGCTTTGCCCAGTCTCGGAAGCTAGTCGTCTTTAGTCCCCCGGAGTGTTTAGTGCACTTGACTAGCAGCTTCTGGAATTCCCCACAGGCTTTACCACATTGGGTGAGAGGGAGCCTTAGCGGAACCATTATGGAAGGGTCATTTCCGGTGAAAGTCTCGAGGGAAAGGAGGACGCCATTGAGAGCCCCAAGCTCATCTCTCAACTGCCGAACAGCTCGGGGGTGGTCTATGAAGCTCTGGATAGTTTGGTAAAGTACCTTGCTCGACTGGATTGTGGCGGTGACGATGGCTATTAGCCCAGAGGCGATACTTAGCGGGTCCCCGTTTTATACGGCGATAACAATGGGGCTCTTTAGTTTGAGTCAGTCTGCGGCTGAAGTCAAAAGTCTTCGAGGCCAGTTAAGAGCAATCGCCAGTCCAATGATATTGCAGCTGCATGCTAACCCCTCAATTGAGTGACAGGCAGCTGTGTAATGTACTGCCACGGGATCCATCTGACTTTAGATGTGGTTTT